GAAAATTCTACGTCATAATCGGATTTTAACCAATGAAGAACTGAGATCAAACGAACCACACGTTGATTAAATTTTTTTTATACAATGGGTGCAGAAAGGGATAAATTGACGAAGAATTAGAGAAACGTCTTTATAAGCAAAGACGTTTTGGAAATTGAAAAATATATCCTAGCGTTACCGATTGACAACCATACATTTTGTCATTCCATTAACTGTCCCTAGATGTCCAAGATGTATACGGTATACATTTAACGTGAGAAAGTAAAAATGTCAAAAAGTCCTCGTGTATTGTATTTTAAATCAGTTTTGAAATTTTTCTGAATTAATTACAAGTGTTTAACTAATTCAATTCAAAATTTAATACTTTAAGGTATTACCAACACCCTGTACTGATTACTTGCTACTAGATTTCACATGCACATACATAATGTGGTAGGGTAATTTTACTTACAAATGAACCGTATGCAGCCTAAAAGAAGCATGACCCTTTACAATGCAAACATATAAATATTGACATGGTGTATAACGATAACCGTTAATTACTTGATAGCAATACGCTATTAGTTACGTAATAAACCGTGGTAACCCCCAAAAATGTCCACTCGTTTAATTTTTTCTTATATTTACACCATTGGAAAAGTAGGCGTCACTGCATCATATACCAAATTCAAATTCACCGTTGCATTCCATGTTAAGAATTTATTGAATATAACCAGTTGTGGGGTACCCTTAAAAGGCCGAGAACTAGTACGCATATATCATTGTGTGTTTCTGCACATGTTCTCATTAGGAATACCCATGACTGTAAAATGCGTAGTAAAAACATATTTTAAAATAAATCTGAAATGTCATGGTAATATTTGTAGCTTAAATGTAAATAGATGGTTAAACGTTACTGATAAGGCAAAAATTCCGGCCAGCTCAGATATATCATTTATTTTTCAAACTTAGCCAGAATTAAAAATTGTCGTTTTATTTTCCTAGATCTTTCTGCATCATTCTCATATCCAGCTGTAAACAACATAAATGCTTGATCACTTTTTCAATGACTGCTATGTTAAAACGCACACATGACTTTCTATACATTTGTAAGAATTGTTTCTCATGCCCTAGGTTTGTCCCCTTAATGCATACGCTTTAGTTTGTCGTTCTTGCGTTTAAAGAAAGGTTGTGGTCTTGAAAAGAGATTAACAAACAATGACAACCTACTCTGCCCTATGTATGCACATTATATATGTTGGGTTAACTTATCAATCGTCATATTGATAAAATAAACATAAATAGTCAATATTTATTGTTTAGAATGTTTATACTCTTTATTCTGTATTACTTCTGCCAAGCAATTCCTGTTGCTGCAAATGTTTCATCTTCAAATTAGTTCTCAAATTTCTGTTAATTCAAGAATGTTTTGAACATTGCAAAAAATTGCAATGGGATTTAAACATATTTATAACACTGCATGTATCATGCAGCACTTCTTGAAAGCTTAATAATTAATCACGCATTTTGAAGCATAGTTTTCATATTGCATCAATATATGAAAGCAAATATGTATGATTTCACAGAATCCTAACGACAATTTTCTTTTATATTACCTATAACTACTGGGGCCCGTTTCATTCAATAATTGACATATGTTTTTGAATATTGTCTCAATCACTTTTAACATTGATGTTACTAGAAATAATTATTACGTAACTAATCAAGTAATTAACGGTTATCGTTTTACACCATGTCGATAATTATATAATTATATGTTTGCATTGTAAAAGGTCATGCTTCTTTTATGCTTCTTTTATGCTGCTTGTGGTTTTTTTGTAAGTAGAATTACCCCACCACATCATGTATGTGCTTGTGAAATCTAGTAGCAAGTAATCAGTACAGGGTGTTGTCTGTCGTTAGTAACTGTCTGCTATAATAGGTATCGTTATTTGTCGTAGTGAAAACGATATTATTTTCCATTTTACATTGTTTTAACTTTTGTCATCCCTTGCCGTATGTTACATTATTTACAGTAGGGGATTTGGTTATTGTTTAAGGCAGTTCGCTGACCTGATATTGTTCACATCTTTGTCATTTTGATAAATAATGGATATTTGTCTCATGGGCAAATACACTTCATATCCTAATTTTTAGATATTAACTATAAACATCGTGACTTAGGCAGTAGACACTGGTGCAAGTCAGTTTTCCATAAACGTTAAAACAGGTTTGCTCCGGCCTTGATCAAATTTTTGATTCTTCTAAAAAGTTTAATAAATCAAAATATAAACGTGGTAGATTAATCATAACGCAGTTAAAATATTTTAGATGATAATACATTTTAGGCTTTGGAATTCTAGTGCTATTTGACATTATTTAAAAACAAATCTAACTCTCTAATTAGTAGAGTCATGTTAGTTCTGTCATACATTCCACACATCTATCTGATATACTGTATTTCTATGTCTTAGCTAATCACAATCTCATCATGACTTTGAAATTGAATGATTAATGACGCATGCATGACTGTGGTTTCACTGGTTTGCAGACCATTCAGAAGGATTTCATTCTTGGCATTATGATACTGGTACAACCGGACAGCAAATCTCATAATGGCGTCGATTTTATAATCAAGGTCACGTAATTTTCGAATTTATATATATGCAATATTTAAATAAAGATTATGTATCTGAGGTCTAATGATCATGATGAACACTGAAATGTAACAGCTCCTGGACACTGGCATATGATGCTCATGACAATTACAAATATCAAGGTACTTTACAAAAAGGCTTCCCTGTCATCAAACATATCATTTTTATGTGTATGTGGGTAGCAATATAACAAGGTCATCAAATTGAAAAAATTAATAAATGATAAATTAAGAATATACTCAGAGCTTTATTTAGAGATGAGAGAAATATCAATTTTTTTTTCCTTATTTTCTTTCCTCTCATATGACTGTAAAAGCAAGCTTGATTATGCTAGGTTGCACAAATTAATGTCAGAATTGGATTTTTCTTTGCAGAGGTTTTTCATTCTAAAAAAATCATCTATTTATGTAGAGCTTTGTTTCTGTTGAATCATTCTGAAATAGAGCTTGACATAATTGTGACATACCAATCCACCATTTACAGCCCCCCTTGGGTTTTCATGTCTGTTTTCAATAATTTCAATAATAATTGTATAAAGTTCGAGACTCCGTGTTAGTTACGTAAGCGCGTCACTGTTTTTGTCTTTGTCTATATGCCAGTTTGTGTTTCTTTGTTGAAACAGTTATTTGTTTTTATAGTAATTAAGATTATATTGCAATATTGACCTCTGTACCCCAATTTTTGACGTTTTTACCGATTATGTCTGTTTGTTTTTGCTCACACATTGTTGTCAATATAATGAAATGCTATGCGACTGTCATAAAAGTGAGAGGTTTAGCTAGCTATAAAATCAGGTTTAATCCACCATTTTCTACAGAAGGAAATGCCTGTTCCAAGTCAGGAATTTGACAGTTGATTTACATTCGTTAGTTGTGTTTTAGATTTTAATTTTGCTATTTTATAAAGGACTTTCAGTTTTGAATTTCCCTTGGAGTTCGGTATTTTTGTAGTTTTACTTTTTATATTATATAATATCATCTTCATTCTTTTGCAATGACATCTGTAAGCTACAAAATAAAGATCTCACTCTGTTGAAATTATTTTCTTCTGTCTTTTATTGGTAATATATCAGATCTTAGGATGTTAACACTGGAGTCATGCTAATAGATCACAATAATTTACAACTGCACTTCCCAAAAAGAATGCACTTATTTAATGATAATTTTATGATTGGGAGCTTTATATACATTTTCTTATTTGGATAATGTGCTGAATTCAGAATATATGTGTGATTCTTAAGAGAGTAGAACACAATGTTCATATTTGGTACTCAGGCTTCCTCCACCAAAAAAACTGACCGCCACGAATAGCGCAATAGTGTTGAAAGTGGCGTTAAACACCAATCAATCAATCAATCATATCTGGTAATTTCATGTACTGAAAAACATCATTTAGACATGAAAAGGGAAAATAAATCACAAACAAAAATAATTATAGAATAACTAATCGAGGAATTAAAATAGAGAAAAATATTCAACGAGTGACCGAACAACACATTAATTCACGAATGCGCGTAGCGCATGAGTTAATTATCAGTGTTGTTCGGTCAAGAGTTGAATATTTTTCGATATTTGAATTCTTTGATTAGTTATTCTTTTTATTACATTGGTAAATGGCTTTTTTATGAAATTAAAGTAGAAAACGTAAGGAACTATATCTTTTTCTACGCATTCACAATTTGTTTTGATCCGACGTTATCGACGCATGATAACGCCGATTGTTGTATGACGTCAGAGGAGTGAAATAACCACGTTTATTTCACATGTGAAATTATCGGTTTTTATTTCACTGGGAAATCAATGTAATTCATTGCAACCAATGTAATGATAGATTTTATTCATTTCAATGACATGTTGACTGTCTTCTCCTCTGTGACAAGTTTGTCATATTTCTGAGCTGTGTTGGTCAAGAGAAGTTTTAAGAAAAAAATTTAGGGAGTAATTGTGATGTGTATTGAACTTCTGCTAATGTGTAAACAACGAATGGTAACGTCATGTGACCATCCCAATTCTGTTTTCCATGTTCCAGTTTATCAAAATAAAACAGTTCTAAATGTTTCAAAAACTTATGATATCAACCATACCGCTCATGATACGTTTGTTTTTTTGAAATTTCACAAAATCACAAATTCACGATTTCCTAACGGGTTTTCTTCCGCGGGGAATTATTTTTCTGCGCAGCGACACCTGTTTATGGCTTTCTCAGAAAATATCTCCACTTGATTCTCGGATAATAAATCCGTGGTTTTAACGGAGAAATTAGGAATTTATATTCTAAGATAGTATTAGATTAGTATGGTAGATATTTGTGAACAGTTTACATATTGTTAATGCAGACTTCATAGTATCATATATTTTTTCAGCAAATGGTCAATATATGTATACAGAATCTAGCAGTGAATCGATATCTAATGACGAAAGTGATCTGTTTACTGGTGTGATAGTACGGAGTCCAAAGCAGTGTTTGACGTTTTGGTATCATATGTATGGGAGTGATATCAAAACTTTGAAAGTATTTCAGCTGAATCGTGAACATACCATTGAACTGTGGAGCAAATCATACAACCAAGGAAACAAATGGTATTTTCAGTCGCTGGCATTGAAAGATATAGGACCTTATGAAATTAATTTTAAAGCTATTCGTGGTGATGGGGACAAAAGTGACATTGCTATTGACGACATTTTAATAACTAACACTGTCTGTAAGAAAGGTAAGCATGGGAAGATACAAGTACCTTGCGACGCAATATGAATGCAATTGAAAGTGTATTATCCAATGTTAGTTCTATATAGCCCGATAGTTCTGTTTTCAGTCCGGTTTTACGACAGGAAAACCAGAAAAGTTGACTGAAGTATCGAAATACTGTCAACCGCCAGGCAGTAATATTCATGCTGCGAAAAGGACCGCTTGGATGTCCGCGATGTATTAATCTGCTAACACGTCAAGAAAGGAAGGGTTAAGTTTTATGCTTTCTACACATTTAAGAATTGTAGTCACATTTCTTTGTGGGTGTGTGGTTGGCCTGTTATAATGCACGATTCTGTCCCCTATTTAATATTGATTGTTTCCCTCTTTGATTAATCCAGAGGCAGTCCATATATCCAGCCTTTATCTCGGTTGATCCACTCTGCACTACTCACTTAATGGATTATTTGTGGACTTTTTAAGACAAGCAACAAGTATTTGATCAATTTTGCAATAAGTTAAACTAATTTCTATTATCTTTAAATGATTTTTTTTTTTGGAAGGGGGAGGGGGGGACATGCAAAAACCAGCTCGTCCTCGGTAGAGTATGCCAAAAAGAAAAACATAAATAATGTTTAATAAATAAAAAGACATTAAAATCCTTTCAAAAATAAAGTTTTGGCATTTTTTGTAACATAACATATTTAACTAATTATCATTAATAACAGTAACTCGTTTACGATTTGAAGCGAACCTTTCTTAAATTGTCCGTGTATAAGTTTAGAACTTATCAAGCAACTAACTCCCTCGGGCAAAGTTAACCTTAGATGGATTTTGATATTATTGTTTTGTGACTGAAGCGAGGTGTAATAATGTCCATCGGACGTGTCACAGTACTATATCATCATCAAGATCAAGATCAAGATGAGGTCTATTTTTATCATAAAGCTCTTCAACTATTGCGGTTCTTATACATCCTTGGCATCACATTTGTAAAGTGTTTTGAAATATAAGTGTTGTCATAATCCCTTTCATTGTATGCACGAGGTTTCCAGTTTAGCTCCTCGAAAAAAGAGGATTTTATTTCATTATTACCGCATAATTGTACAAAAAATCTACATGTGCCACTTTGCTATTAAATGCATCTTACTGTTTATAAGCGGCCGATCCATTTGTATTTTTTAGTTGTACAAAAAGTTGTGTTTTTATACTTAACATATACATTGTAGACATTTTTATTTTTTTATATTTTTTTCTTGATTAAATTCTTATGTATTACCTAAGTTGATATAGGTCTGTTTGAAAATATTTTGAAAAATCATTTGTTACAAAAATTATATAAATCGGTGGTAGGTTTTTGTTTATACACATATGGAAATGTCGGATAAATAATCGAAAACATTTCATCTGAATTGCATGTGCAGGCATAAAATAAGGTAAGCGTGATCGGGTTGCAAGTTCCTTCAAAAATTAACTTGCTCTCAATGAAATTCTACGCGGTCTTTCCGTAGTCTACATAGATGAGCTTGTCCTGTATTAAATCTGCTTGCCATGTGTAAGGAGGAGACATACCCTTTCTATTTCCACTCTTTATGTGAAATGACTCCACTTGCATATTTGATTGTTATTTAAGAGGGTGATAAAATTGCTGTAAAGAGTCATTTGTCATTCGGATGAAAAGTAAACAACATAGTACATAAGGCTCTGAAATTATATATCTCACAATTATTCAAAGAATCCTTCAACAATGAATAAAACCCATATGCATTCTAGTAGGCTTTTGAAGACCAGTGTTGGCTAACACCAATATTTCAACTTCAGATATTGACTGTAACTTTGAAACAGGACAATGCGGATGGAAAACGGAGGAAACTGCCTATAAATGGACAAATTGGCATGACAGAACACCTTCTGATTATACTGGACCTGATGTTGATCACACTCTTGGTACCAGTAAGTACATGAAATGATCGGTTGAATTGTTATATAAAATGAAAACACCTGTTTAAGTTATATATATGAATATGATGATGCGATGGATGTAAACGACACAAGACGGTAATCTAATGATCAGTAAAAGCAGTGTCTAAATAATGTATCGTTATATATTTTTGATTGGTGATTTCTTTACGCCGCATCTGCACAAAAAGGCTAAATCGCGGCGGGAGCGAATTCATATAAAAACGTATCGTTATAGATATACTTGACAAATACAGGAGGAATTATTTCTAACCTCTCTTCAAATCTACAAGGAATTGTCAGTAGAAACGTTCTATATCGGTCCGTAAAACAGATCTCCTGAAAACTTTAGAACAGTTTCTCATAGAAGCGCTTCTACCCTATTACAGTTTTGGATAGTTCTAACCTAGACCCGTTTTTAACATTTCGCACTTACAACAGATTCTAAAAGTTCTACCCTAGACCATATCATAACAGTTGTATCTCTAGAATATGTTAGTACAGCTCTTATTTATTCATTAAGTTTATTCAGTTTGGAAGTGGCGGGGGTATCATTTTGTTAGCTTTGCCCTCATCACCTCCTGTTGTCATTTAGAACAATTCTTCCTCAGAACAGTTTCTCACAGTTCTACCCAAGTACAGATTTGGACAGTTCAATCATTGAACTGATTCCGACAGTAATACGTACCCTGTAGAGATTTTGGCAGTTATATTCAAAAATTGATTTTGACAGTTCTACTGTTGAAATGATTCTGAAAAATCTACCCTAGAAATGATTCAGACAGTTTTACCGTAGAAATAATTCCGACGAATAGGGTAGAACTGTCCTGAGATTATTCTTACAATTCTAAAAGAAGTTATAACTGATCCCAAATGTATCCCACATCCTAACAGTTGTATCTCTAGAATAGGTTAGTACAGCTCTTATTTATTCCATGACACTTTTACCATAGAAATAATTTCCACGAATAGGGTAGAACTGTCCTGAGATTATTCTGACAGTTCTAAACAGAGGTTATATCTGTTCCCAAACATCGTTTAAAGTACCATAATAAGTTATCTTCTTCTAGTTCTTAGCACACGTGCATGTGGTGTTTACATAAACATGTATTCAGATTTAAATTAGATACATGTCTCTGTAATCTTTAGGATAAAAAAAATATTCCACCATTGAAATCGCGTGCTGTATATTTTTCCACTCAGTTTAATTCAAAAACATGCATTTTGATAGAAATACATGTGGATGTATATAATAGTGTATAGCTGAATTAAACTGCACCCTAATAATGCAAAAAAACAAAATACATTTAGAGGTAAACATTTATATAGACTTTTACAATTCTCTAATCGGCGCGTTTTCTTTTTAAATAAACTATTGAATAAAGTAAACAGAGAGACTTTTACAATTCTCTAATCGGCGCGTTTTTTTTTTTTTTTTAAATACACTATCTATACTACTAAAATAACCAGGTCCAATTTGTTAGCCGGCATGACGTAAAAACGACGAATCAAAGAATTCAACTTTATATATAACTAATACGGGACAATGGTGTTGATTAAAAAATACACCATTCCAGGCCCTTTTGTTTTCCACATAAATAAAATTACCACTAATTAACAAATTCCGGGTCGAATCCGATACCGATACCAATAGTATATGTCACCTGTTACCTGTTACTTAATCTGTACGTTCCGCCTTTGTCAGGCGCACCACCAAACGGTGTACTAGGGATTTGCTATATACACGGGTCATAATCACACATGAACTTCGTCATTATACAGGGATTGACACTACTAAATTCAATAATTGTCACATGTAGTTTCCAGTTGTAGTAATAAAATAAGGACGGGTTCACACAGAAAAATTTTGAAAGCAGAGAAATCTGTGCACCTTATAAGCAGCATGACTTTTATCAGATGACAATGCTAAAAATCCAGGCTAAAATAAGGCGTACAATGTAGGTACGTTAATTCAGTCAGGGACCGGCATGTCGCGGGTGAGTTCTAGTTGAATATAATCAACAGAGTCTAGCAATCATTTCTCATCAACACCATTTTTTTACTTACAAATCATTAAAATATGGATTGGGACCAACACACGAATATATTGCGCGATTCAGCTGAAAATTTCAATACGATTTCCTTACAATCTCGATTAGTTGACTTACAATAGGTGCATACAAGAACATGTTAACATATCATAACTTAATATATCTAAAAACCCGTGATCTGGTTGCTATATTGTAAATTGTCGCTCAATCATCACTTCATTTTACCTTAATCCCTTAATCAACTGCAGCAATCAAATGATTAATGTTTTGTAACATAAACTCCTTTTGTAATCGTATACCTTAATTCACCTTTGACACAATCAAGTAGACTTAAACAACATGTTCAAACGCCCTTTTAGTTCACAAGTAGAACGTTTTACATACAATTACTTGCTCAAAGAGGCACTCTATCTAGAACTTAAAAAACAAAAAGACCGCCACATTATGAAACGAATTTGTCAACTTGAAAGATTCCACGAATTTTTACACTTTCTTCGAACTAAAAATTCGGACTATCGTCTTCCAATTTGTGTATGTGTTTTTGTCTTAATTGTTCACTTACGGTTATATGATTTGATCTACAGGTGCTGGAGGGTACATTTACCTCGAGGCTTCACGAATATCGATAGGACGGATGTCAAATTTAACAAGTGAAACTGTATATCCTGATGGTGATGCCTGTTTTACCTTCTGGTATTATATGTATGGAAGGGATATGGGCACGTTAAATGTTTATTTTGATTTCGAAAACGTTTCAACAATTGCTTGGTCTAAATCGAGAAATATTGCGAAGAGATGGTTATTGGCTTCTTTAAACATGTATTCATCTAAACCATACAAGATTGTATTTGAAGGTATTCGTGGAGAGGATTCAAAGGGTGATATAGCATTGGATGATATTGCACTGCTTCCTGGATTATGTGAAGAAGGTAATAGTAAATTAGCATGGTTATTTTTGGACAATTGTTTTGAAGCAGAAATCACACTTATTACCCCGTTGATCAGTATTTTTTTTCCATCTGCAGCTAGTAAAATTTTATCTCAATATTTTCTATATCTGTTCCAAGAAAAAAAAATGAATCAAAAGAAACGTCCAGGTCGATTATGTCATAGAACATAGAATACACTGTATGATCATTACACACGGGTGTAAGGGGATATCGACTAATTTTCTTTTTTATCAAAATAAACGTTGTTTTCTTATCGGTTGATACTCTCAAAAAGCTATACCGTCAAAGTATTAAGTATTAATCATCTTTGTAAAAACTTTGATTTATGAAATTCAATGTCATTATTATGGTGTTATCTATTTTTAACGTATGATTCTTTTGTTTTGAAAGATTAAAAAAACATTCGTTACTGACTGCCTTTATAAACGACTATATCAAATTTTCTTATTGAAAATCTCACACTTATCAGTTAATCCAGAAAGACTGCAAAAGTTTGATTGAATAGTAAAATGGTACAAGTGCCAAGATATCCTATTATTCAGTGGGTGTGGGTTATTTGCAAAGCACAAATAATGATATTAAATCAAATCCCACTTACGTTCAGAGAAACATGCTCTCTGTGCGCAAAATGATTGTTGCACTAAGTCTTTGAGGCATCAGCAATTAATCTTTTGCGAGGCATAGTGTATGACCTGACCTTATATGTAATTTTTTTAATTTGCGGTCGTAATTTTTCCCAAATACTTATTTTAAACTCACCAACAGACTCATTTATTATCATAAGAAAGAATACGTAATTAAAGTCAAAATATATGTTATTGGGGAAGTAAGATAATGGCTTCTGTCGGATACCAACCCATAAACAAAGGGTATTTGGGTAACTGTAAATTAGATGCAAATTCAAAATGCAAATCAAATGATAAAAATAAAATAGATAATGAAAATTCAAAATTCAAATAAAAACTAAAACGAAATGAAATTTTGAAATAATAATGTGCCTGGCAACAGATGTCCGAAATCAACATGTGAAACTACGTTTGAGGTGGAAATGTATACGTATATTGCATATATAAAGCCTATAAAGTCCTACCTAATGATGACCACTGCTAAAAGACTGTCATTACATCATTTATTGGTACATTATAACTGTCAATCCGTTATCACTCGTCAGAGGGACATCATACTATGGTTAATTGTGTTTAAAGAAACTAGCGAAGAGTTGTAAATTCAGAAGCCGTGAAAGGATTTACATATATATGTTGGAGTTACAGACAAGCAGAAATGTGTTAAATAAAACATTAAACAGCAGTATCCAAAAACAAAAAGAGGAGGGAAGGGTGGGTTTTCATTAATTATGCCTACAATAAACTCAACAATCTGACCTTAGATATATTCAGCTACTTCCTAAAGATCGTGCATTCAGATTACTGCGAGGTGTGCTACATCTGTTACAATTTATATGCCGTGTAATCTTATGAAGACATATGCGTGAAATTGACCTATGCATGAACTGTTGCAACCCTTGCCTTCCTCTGATAACGCGATTTAACGGTCAAGCCCTTTAAATGTATAATAAAAGTATTGTTAGTATGTATGAAGTTCAGCTATACAAACTCGCGTTGCAGGATCTCAGTACTGACGGGTTCAAGTCTAAACCTACTGATTGCAGTGGTGCTTTATACATAATGTGACGAGAAACGTTTTTGCTGGTGACCTAAACATTTTCAACAACGATTAGCTGCGAACTGTGTTAATCAAAAAGCTTAAATATCGTGCACCTAAATCCATAAATTTGAAATACAACTTTCAATACAAGTGGTCATGGATCAGTCGAAGATCAAGCAAGGCAAAGGGCTAAACGTGAAAACGAAGACGTAGATACTCTTTCTGAAAGGGTTTAGGGAGTGAAGTCATTGATCCAAATTGATATTAAACATGTTAATGGGTCTATAGCTATGAAGACTCATTCTACATCTATGTTCAAAGACCTATATGTTGCTCAACACTAGTCAAACATCATGACCACCATACCAACTATGTTTTTTGTCTCCAAAGAGAAAGCCCCAAACTGCGTAGTTTTTGTTTGTCAATCATATTACATACACTGCTTGATAAAGTAATCAGGTATTGACAATTCATTTGGAAATTCAACATATGCTCCCACCACAACAATTATCAAGGACTAAAGCTTGAACAAACATAGGTCTGTCCTTTGTCCCTATTGATGTACAACGTTCATAGTCGTGAATATATAGGAATCGAAACAGTTGAAGAGCTATATGACCAACAAGGACCTACAAAAATAGCCAAATCCATCTCAGGTCAACTTTGCCTGAAGGGGTTGAAACCTTAGTTTATTTATAATATAAAAAATCATAAACGGACACTTTTAGAAATTTACTTCAAAATTTTGTCTGCATCGATAATGCCGAAATGTCCTCTTTTTATTCAAAATACTGAGACGTCAGAAGATTTTTTTTTTAATCTCAGGATGGTTTGTATAACAAGAATATGTGCCCACAGTAACTAAAACAGACTATTTTTGTACAAAATGACTACAACACATTTTCTGCATCAATTTAAAGTGAAAATATTTCCTCTTTTTATTCAAACTACTGAGACGTCACTAAAAATAAGTAGTTTTTATATCTCAGGATGGTTTGTATAACAAAAAGATTTCCCCAGATCATCTAACAGTGACCATATTTGTACTTTATAATGAAATTATAATGATGGTATCATAAATCGGTAAATATGACTGCCAAAATCATGAAATTCGAAAAGGTTCAAAAGTGCTTCAGAAAATTATACAACACCTTATATATCCTGACACTATACAACTTTCGTTTTAATATTTCCCCGAAATTAAAATATTAAATCCACGGCAAACAAAGTAAATTATGAAGAAAAATCACTTAAGCAGTGTTGTTAATATCTCGTCATATACATTCATGTTTCCATTCCATTGGATAACCTTTAAATCTGCCTTCAAATATTTTTAGACTTATATGATTTTTTTTCTTATCTGCGCAGTATCGTCTATTCTAGACGATCCGGTACATATTAAATTTGCTGGTTGGTCCTTTTTATAGACTTCTATATATATATATAAGTGCCTATAAATAGCAACAAATAACATACGAATCTATTTGAGTGTGGATTAATCAGAACAAAGATTAATTCAATTACACAAATGAAATGATAAATTGCCTAACAATGTAATTTTAACAAACTATTGAGTATGTTAATATTAGAATGTTTAAAATATTTACAACGCGATCGATAAAAAATAAACGCAATATTTCGCTAGACAAACTAGCTTTATCAAGCGTGCATCTATCCAGGTGAAATCGGATGTAGATAAGAAACTTTTGCAGCTCATTGTACATAAATTTAGCTGTCTTGTAAAGAATTCAAAATTTGGATGAAGTTCAAGATTATTTACAAAATTGGTGATTGAAGTTTGCAACGTCCAATGTTTAATATTACAGGATAAAAAGGACGATGATGTGTACTAAATTATTCTTTATCTTTCTTGTATCTTTTCTCGTCTTTTTCATTAAGACCATCAGGTTCTAAAGTGTGGAGCTGGTGGATTCAAAAGTTTTCTCTTCTCCTTCTCGCCGTGGTGTCCAACTCGGTATTGACTTCTATGATTTGGAAAGTAACATTATCAAAATGATGTTTCTTTGAGCGAAGATGTCTTGTGAGAGGACAGTTTTTGTTGGTATTGTACCATGAACGATGGTTATTAAGCCGAATATTAAATTTATTCATTGTTTCCCCCACATACTGAATGCCACAAGTATTACATGTTAATACATAAATTGAGTTCTCCGTTCTACAGTTGGAATTTGAGTAGATGGAATAACTTTGTTTTGTAAAGGAGCTGATGAAAGAACTACTTGTATTGACAGCTTTACAACATAAGCAATTCCTTCTACCACATTGTTTGCAGCAACCGGGAGGTGGAGTAGGTTGCTTTGTTAATACAGCTGTCGCTAATTTGTCACGAATGTTTTAGGTCTTCTGAAGGCCATGACTGGTGGTGAGGAAAATACCTTTTTTAAATTGGAGTCATTTTCTACAATTTTCCAATGCTTTTGAACAATGGATGACACATTTTTAAAATCAGGATGGTAAGTGAGTACAAGAGGTGTTCTGTTGACCTTTATTTTTATCCTTGTACTCCAGAAGTTCATGACGACTAGTGTTGTTTGCTCTTTCGAAAGCTGTATCAATGATGTTGTTATTGTATCCTCGAACAACTAGATGTTTACGTAGTTGTCCAAGTCTAGCATTTTGCATATTTTCGGTTGAGCATATTCTCTTGATTCGCAATGCCTGACTGAATGGGATACACCGGGACCAGTGATTAGGATGGCAACTTTTAGGAGAAAGAAATTGATGTTTGTCCGGTTTTTTTTTCGTATGAAGGTCCGTTACAATGGTTCCGTTCTGGATATAACTAGTAGTATCAAGGAAGTTTATTTTCTCCATAGATGTTTCGTGTGTAAATTTAATTGATTGGTGGAAAGAGTTACAGTGTTGTAGAAATTTATTCAGATGGTCTTGTGAATCTGTCCATTTGAAATCAATATCGTCAATAAAACGAAACCATGATAATGGCTGGTATGGAGCACTGGCAAAGAGGTGTTTTTCAAGTTGGCCCATAAATATGTTGGCTTATGATGGGGCCATTTTTGTGCCCATACTAGTGCCGTCTATCTAGAGATAGTGTTTGTCATTGAAAGAGAAGTTGTTGTTCTCCAGTACTAGTTTTAGAAGTGTAACAAGGCACTCAGTTGGAGGATTTTTGTCACTACGAGTGTTCCATACCTCTTCACACGCTGCTATTCCTTTGTCTTGTGGAATGTTGGTATATAAAGAAGACACGTCCATAGATGCGAGTATAGTATTGTCAGGTAGAGGATTAAGGCTTTCCATTTTCTTTAAATAATCTGTCGTATCCTGAATGTAAGACATGTAAGAGGGTAGTTATTTAACATGAGGTCTTAAGTAATGGTCTACAAATTCGGATATTTTTTCAGTTGGGTGACTATTCGCTGATACAATAGGTCGACCTGGATTGCCAGTTTTGTGTATTTCAGGCAACATATAGAATCTTCCAGCCTGTGCTTCGTTCTCAAGAGGTCGAAGATAGTCAAAGGTGTCATTATCGATATGCTTTTGGTCGCACATCTCTTGAAGGATGGTGTTGATCTTTCGAATGGTAGTTTGTGTTAGATCTGTGGTTAATTGTTTGTAAAAATTGGAGATTGACAGTTGACGATTCTCCTCTGCTATGTAATCTGTAACATTCTAATATTTACATACTCAATAGTGTGTTAAAATTACATTGTTAGGCAATTTATATATATATATATAAGTGACGACTCTACAACAGACTTTATCCATCGGATCACCAGCAGTGATGGTGATACAAGGCTGAAAATACATTCTGTATATATATATATATATATATATATATATATATAAGTCTAAATTGAAAACAACGTTCAAACCTATGATTGCGTTAGATAAAAACCGCAATTTTTATACGTGTGCATGCAAAACAATTTCTTGGTAGAGGGGTCTAAATACAGCAAACAACATTTTCCAAAAGACCAAAAAAGTGAAAAGTATAGTTAAACAAAATGCATTTGACTAACAGGTCGAACAACGGATGTTCTTAAACCCTGCTGTATTCATATTCGAAGGCATTGTATTTTTTATCACGATTTCCTTCATAGATGCTTTCTGCTGACAAGGAAGCTGTTGAACCAGGTTTCAAGTGGTAAAGTTGAAGTTATTTCATCGAAAGTTTAATAGAGGAATACACGAGATTGTTTACCGTTATGGAATATCTGTGTCACAAATGACCACTGAAATGTTCCAATTATCGTAGCAACACTCCAGTTTTCTTTTCCTCGATTTTGTTAAGAAAGTAAATCTTAACATTTGGATTATGTGTATCTCATATAGATTTTCTCTATCTAGAAGGGTTGAACAGACAATACTTGCAATTCATCCCGGTTTTCTGTTTTAATCCAAGATGGTTATATTCGTTTTCAAGCGTAATTCTCAATTTGGATCTAATGGCCTGGTAGTTTATGGGAAAATGTTATCAGACGACAACAGCTGTTGACCCAAATTTTTACTTTATTAAGTAAGGCCCTCACATATGAACATTTTACATAATCTGAAGCCTTGATTTAGTATATCAGTAAAGATTAATCATTTTTTAAGTTAGATTTCATATTAAGTTAGTTTTTCTTGTGTCTTTTCTTTTCTTCATTAGTCACTGAATATTTTGTTAGAAAATGAAAGACGCAAATCTTAGTCAACACAACGTAGACTGCAATGCATGAGTATTGGATTTTGACGTATTCTTTAAATTTTCAAAGTGTCTAAAACAGTGAAACCCTTTTGAATTGTTGGAATTTATGCTTTATGCATTGCATTCGCAAATTATACTAGTCGAAAACGAACTGAAATAAAACACATTGGTTCTTTTGATTTGAACTTGATGCATGAATACTGAGTAACACATATCAACAGCTTTTATTATGATATTGTTTTTGTATGCCGAAGAACAAGTTAAAAGAGAAAATAAGCTTAAATATCTATGCCACACAAAGAGAACCAGATACGCGTATATTGAATCGACATTAAAAACCGTCTAAAACAATATTGCATGCAAGTTCCAACTGTTAGTAGATAACGCCAAAGATTGGCCTAAAACAGGTTATACCTCTGTTTTCTAAAGATTGGATGATATTTTGCATATAAACTTGTTGTTTGTCTTTGAAGATCGATACGTCAGAACTAGCTCATTTAGAGGTTTTTCGACGTTAAGTAGGCCCAGATGATGGCACAAGATATGTACTTTTTATAGAAATTTGTGCATGTTGTTTATCAGCATATACTTTATTTCGTGAGGTATAATTCATATTGCCAATGTGAGACATTCATGTTTAAGGCAATCAAAAATAAACACCAGAAATTTAAATGATATTGAGGTGTTTGATTCACAATTTTTCTAATTTCTAGTTATGCGACTTTGTCTAAAGAATTTATCGATGATATTAAATCAGGATGTTTAACAGATGCAGGAACATTAGTATGTCTAGTTTTGATTTTCCGTCGCATACACAATACAGAAGAACAAAATGACTGCGTGATGTTTATTGTCTGCCATGATAGTCCGGCGTTTTTTTAATTCTTAACTGCTAATACATATACAACATTCGACAGTAATCATCCTTTCATACACATGAAATACAATATTTTTCCACTTGTGTAACAGTGAAAGATATAATGGTTTAGTGCAGGGCAATATTTAACTTCATTTCCCCCCGAAACCATTCAGAAAAAATCAACCAATCAAATGAGCACAAACGCTTGTAAAAGATATGAATAAACTCATCATAGATACCAGGAGAAAATTGTACATACCAGACACGCTTTTCGTTTACAAAAGACTCATCAGTTACGATCGAACCAAAAAAGTTAGATAGATATAAAAAAAAAAAAAAAATGTGGTATGATTGCCAAAGAGACCAAATGACACAGAAATTAACAACTATAGGTCACCGTACGGCCTTCAAAAATGAGCAAAGCCCATACCGCATAGTCAGCTATAAAAGGCCCCGAAATAACAAATGTAAAACAATTCAAACGAGAAAACTAACGGTCTAATTTATGTACAAAAAAAAATGAACGAAAAACAAATATGTAACACATCAACAAACGACAACCACTGAATTACAGGCTCCTGACTTGGGACAGGCACATACAAAGACCATATAAAGTGAGAAGTTGAAGAGCATTCAGGACCCAAACTTCCAAAGGTTTTGCCACATACAGCCAAGATAATCTTTTCCTGTGGCAGAAAATCCTTAGTTTTTCGACAATTTCACTGTTTTGTAAACAGTTGATCTATAATTATGACCATATCACAGATAATTCGTGTCAACATTGAAGTGATGACTACTGGACTGGTAACTCCCTCCGTAGAAAACCTTCACCAGCGGTGGCATCGGCGTAATGGTTGTAATGTGTACAGATCATATATTAATGTCCAGGTGAAAAGATATCTTAGGTTTTCATGCGATCTCGAACATCTTTTTTCAAACTGTGGGTAAAAAATGTAAAACAAACGACTGAATCAAGAAAACTTGCAAACTCACCATTAAATTAAAATTAAAAAAGAAATTAAACTGTTGTTCTGCTTCTTCAATATTCATCTTTGAATACTTTGATATAAGACTAAACTTCAGTCCTCTACACAAAATGTATCGGAACACCACAATTGCGCATATATTCCACACTGGACTACTCATTGAAGTCCATGATATACCAGTGGATGGTTTCTTTAGCTCATTTACTGTGATCCAGAGCTATGAGCCGTAAATTTGAAGGTAATTTGGCAATGATAGGATTTATATTTTGATATAAATTACGTCTATGAATTTTTGATTTGGCAAAGTTAAGCTTACTCATATAGTGAAATGTCATACTAGTATTTGATCTGTCAATGACGAATAAGTTTAACAATGACATTTTTAGCTTTTAGTTTAGACTGTAACTTTGAAGGAGGACAATGTTACTGGTTAACGGATCCTGTTCCGCCATATATTTGGGAAATTTTAGCTGGATCAACCCCATCAGATGGCACTGGTCCAGATAATGATCACACTACTGAATTATGTAAGCGCTTACATTATTATCAAGCATACATTGATAGTAATCTTCTTATCAAACTTTAAAACACACGAGATCTTTTTTCTTTTCTTATTGTTAAGTTTTTAATTATCGTTTTTCATTTGAATCAATAAATGTATATTTTTCACTTGGTTCGATAAGCACGTGTTTGCAGTGATGTCGCAAATTTGAGTTATGTTATCACAAATATAAAACTTTACAACGGAATTACGATTACATGTATCCATGCATTTATATAAACAGGGATATTATATATCCATATCGTTGTTTTTGGTTGTAATACATTGAAGGCAAATACATGTAAAATGTAAAATTGTTAAATCAAAACCTTTTGCCCTATCAGATTTGTGTATCAGTGTGTAAATTATACAATATATAGTTATCAACTTATAACATTTTATTTTATAAGAATCGATATTAATATTTTGATAGAAAACTAGAAGATTTTATATATTTCTCTCATTGTAACTCTGCACTTTACTTGGATCATAATATATCATCATGTGTTTCTGCATCTTGTCTAAAGTTGCTATCTGTATAAAACCTCTTAAATACAGTCTCTGATATTAGGATGTGAGATGAGAGCATTTCATAGCTTTATAATAGTGAGGCAAAAGATACCAAAGGGATATTCAAACTCCTTAGTCGAAAACAAACTGACAATGCAATGGCAAAAAACGAAAAACGATCAAAAGACAAACAACAGTTCACAAACACAACATAGAAAACTAAAGACTGACCACTAACTCCATTAAAAACCAGGGGTGGTCTCAAGAGCTCCGGATCAGTAAATTAATCCTGCTCCACACGTGGCATTCAATGTTGTTTATCTTTTACCGATTCCTTGGTAAACATCTACCCATATGTCATTGTATAAGTAGTTGGTAGTTGGTATTAGTTCTGTGAAACTTTTGAATCAAATCAACTTGACAAAGGGTGTGGTAATAGTCGATTAAATAAATAGTTTCATTATATTTTTGCGTTCCAACAGCTGATGGACATTATATTTACCTCGAAGGATCAGATGTAGAAGAGGGAATGAAATCTGAGTTAACCAGTAAAACTATCAGTACTTATGGTGATACCTGTTTTACTTTCTGGTATCATATGTACGGAAAAGACATTGGGACATTAAATGTTTACACTGAATCAGGAAACATAACTAAAAGACAGTGGTCCCGATACGGAAATCAAGGAAACGCCTGGAATTTTGCCAATTTTGATATTTCTGAAACTGAACCGTTTAAGATTATATTTGAAGGGATTCGTGGGGACAATTTTATGAGTGATATAGCATTAGATGACACTTTACTACGTAGGCGTTCTTGTTCATGTAAGTAAGGTTAACGTCGAAAAATAGTCAGTAGAGATATTGAAAATTCTGTAGCAGTTCAAAATTCTTGTTGCAAAGTTACGGAAACCATAAAGGGACACACACAAAATAAAATTAATCCGTGATCTCGGATTCCAAATCCGTGATATCGGATTAACAATTCGTTATCAACGGATTAATATCTCGGATTCCGAATCCGTTTTCTCGAAGTAATAAACTGTTATCTCGGATTCCCAATCCGTTATCTCGGATTGACAATCCGTTATCTCAAATTCCCAATATGTTATTTCGAATTCGCAATCCGTGATCTTGGATTGATAATAATAATAAGCAAAAAACTTAACAATTGTTGATGCCTCCAACGCCGGAAAAGCAACACCTATGTGTCGCTTTTCGCGACTTTCGTCGCAGATGAGACAAAAATATGGAAAAATCAATATCTCAGGGGCAATAACTCCAAAACAATTTATTAGATTTTTTTTTAATTTTCAGGATGGATACACCTTGTCATGCTGATAATTTTTGCCTTTACACTTTAAACCTAGCTCCTATACTTTTATAAACAATGGTTGGGAAATGCAAAAAAAAAAAAATCCATGAAAATGCTCAGATAAACATAGCCAGACAGACATGTTCACCTTACAATCAGTCCATACACCAAATATAATTGACCTACTGCTTACAGTATCTGTTCATTCCATACGCCAAATATAGTTGACCTATAGCTTAAAGTATACAAAAAAAGACATAACTATAAAAACTTAACATTGACCAATGAACCACGAAAATGAGGTCAAGATCAGATGAACACTGCCAGACAAACATGTACACCTTACAATCAGTCCATACACCAAATATAATTGACCTACTGCTTACAGTATCTGAGAAATGGACATTATCATGTAACTTTAACCTTAATCACTCATCCATGAAATGAGGTCAAGGTCAGATGAATACTGCCTGACGGACATGTACACCTTGCAAGGAACCATATACTAAATATACTTATCATATTACTTATAGTAACTGGGAAATTTACATGACAAAAAAACTAAAACTTTTTTTTCAAGCAGTCGCTGAACTATCAAAAAATGAAGACAACAGACATAAGACAAACGGAAACTTCCGTAACATAAGGCATCTGCATACTAGGTATGAAGCATCCAGGTCTTCTATACCCTCTGAAATATAAAGCGTAATACAAATAGTTTACGCCGCCGCTGTCGGATTTTAATCTCTGTGTCTCGCATACTGCAACTTCGTCGCAGGCGAGAAAAAAAAATTAACATTTCAAGGGCGATAACTCCAAAACAGGTGGACAGATTTTTCCAAAATTTCAGATAAAACTTATTATTTTTTCTCTAATTGCTATAGGTTTAGAGATATTAGCCAAAATATAGTTTAACTCCTATATTGATAATGGATTCTCAATCCGAGATCACGTATTGGGAATCTGAGATAACGGATTATTAATCCGCAATAACGGATAATCAATCCGAGATAACGGATAATCAATATGAGATAACGGATTATCAATCCGAGATAACGGATAATTAATCAAGAGATAACGGATTGTTAATCTGAAATCACGGATTGGGAATCGGAGATCACGGATAGTTAATCCAAGATAATTAATCCGATATAACGGATTAATAATACGATATAACGGATTATTAATCCGAGATAACGGTTGTTAATCTGAGATCACTGATAGGGAATCCGATATCACGGATAGGAAATCAGAGATAACGTATTGTCGATCAGAGATAACGGATTATCAATCCGAGATCACGGATTATTAGTACAAAATAAAGGATTAGGAATCCGAGAAAACGGATTATTAATCTGAGATCACGGATAGGGAATCCGAGATCGCGGATTAATTTTATTTGTATGGCTTACGTACTTTATGGCTTCCGTACAAAGACAACCAGATTTTTAGCAGTTCATTTTTATATAAGAGATAAATTGACGGTTTTTGTTGGTATAAGCATGTGTGGTCCATATATTGTTTCCTTTGATTATTTATTGTTTTTCTAGAAGTTTTGTCATGACAGCAAAACAGCAAAAAAAGAAAAGTCATACAATCTTGGAATTTAGGAAGAATCGTATCCATGCATTTTTGATATCACACATTATAAACTTTAGTGTCTGCTAAGGCCTTAGTGACTTCCTAATCTTTGAAAAAAAAATACTGTTCTTTTTCATCAGAGCTCTTATTGGTTTCTAAGATATGAATCAATCGACATAAAAATCCAAACCTAACACAAAACTTCAATATATATATTTTTTGTTCTTGCCTTTAAAAAGGTACTGGTTAAGTTGTTGATACACTCAAACTGCATTTTCCCCGAAATCATCCAAATTTAGCCAACCAATTGAATTTGCAAAAAACGCTTTTAAAAAAGAATTAACGTGTATATTTCTATTATCAACTTTGAGAAATAAACTTACTCTGGTTTCTCCATGGCTACAGAAGGTATTTCAGAAAAATACCGAATTCCAAACCAAATTCAACTTGACAAAATAAAAGTTTTGACCATATAAACCAATTTCGTACAGGTATTTTTCGAACGTCAGTTTCAGAACGGGTATACGTTTTTTTTTTTCATATTAATTAGAACAATCTACAAAAGTCAATCAAACTTGGAAACTTGTCAACAGCTACACAAGATCTGATAATTCTATCGTAAACGTTAAATACATTGATTCATACTTCAATCCCCAATAATAAAAAAAGTAGAATATGTCGCATGTCTTCCCTGTCCAAAAACTCGTTTATATAATTAAGACAATGCAATGATTTACAACTGGTACGATTTCTATAGATGATTGACTGTCCAGTGGAACGTGCTGTTAAGTTGCAATAATTTGGCTTAGAATAATAGTGTATTAATGTATGATTTTGCAAAACCTAGATACTTCAAGTAGTTTTTTTTAAATATTCTTTATAACCGTTTTCTAACAAAAAAACTTATTTATCAAATTTTAGCTTTCATTGTGGACTGTGACTTTGAAACAGGAAATGGTTTATGGTCAACTGATCCTGATTCGGCATATATTTGGAAAATTGAATCAGGACCAACCATTTCATTCGCCACAGGTCCATATAACGATCACACTACTGGGTCAGGTAGGCGCTAACATTATCGTATAGAAGATACCACATGCATTTTATATAATCAGTACTATACATAGATGATCCTCAAGCATTAAAATATTAGATTAGATATTAACGGATATCCACAAATTGATTTATACATAATACATAGTTTAAATCGATTTATATGATTATGGACGTTTTACAACTACATAGGTGGCCTTGGGCTGTTTAATGCTCTTTGGTCGGGTTGTTGTCTCTTTGACACATTCCCCGTTTCCATTCTCAATTTTATATGTATACAGAGCACGAAAATGCAATTGCAACAATCAAAACCATATGTCGAAGAACAATAGACAAGAAAAAAACACGAAGATACAAAAACACAGAACACACAAAACACACTTAGACAAAAGCTTTTAAACAACACGTACTACAGCAAAACGGTGTTGAACTCACATTTTCGAAAAGAGTAAAACATTTCCGTGTTAGTTCTGTTACAATCTAGAGATGACACAACAACCAATCACGAATCGGAAGACAACCTTTAACAGGATGAAGATTAAGGAAATGAAAATACATATAAGATTCAAATTTTGTTGTTGTAAATCTTGATTTAACAATATCTAATGAAATCAATTCAATGTGTTAAATTTTAAAAACCATTTTAAAGAGGAGGCGGAATGATACTCATAAGTCAATAACAAACTGACAACGCCGTGATAGAAAGCGTAAAACGACCACACGACAAAACAATAAGTATTGAAAAAAAACAAAGACTGAGCAACACGAAGCCCGTTAGTTATAATTTAACTGATTCAATACCGTTGCTGATGGACTGCTAGGACAGATGTGACATTAGTTAATTTGTCAGTGATTCTGAACTGACATATTTTTAAAATATTTTTTATCACTTTGTTTTTAGTTGTTTATTGAATTATAGCAATCGTCTTTTTGTAATTTTATTGAGTTTTAAAAGCGTTTATCAAAGCTTTTTTTTATGAAGCACACAAGCGCATTATCTAACAAATTTGTGCACGATCAATATAAAAAAGAAGATGTGGTATGATTGCCAATGATACAACTCTCCACAAGAGACCAAATGACACAGGAATTAACAACTATAGGTCACCGTACGGCCTCCAACAATGAGCAAAGCCCATACCGCACAGTCAGCTGTAAAAAGCCCCGAAATGACAATGTAAAACAATTCAAACGAGAAAACTAACGGCCTAATTTATGTACAAAAAATGAACGAAAAACAAATATGTAACACATAAACAAACGACAACCACTGAACTACAGGCTCCTGACTTGGGACAGGCACATACATACAGAATGTGGCGGGGTTAAACATGTTAGCGGGATCCCAACCCTCCCCCTAAACTGGGACAGTGGTGTAACAGTACAACATAAGAACGAACTATAAAAATCATTTGAAAGAGGCTTAACTCATCAGATGGATAAAAATACAAATACTACAAATACAAGTGGACGTGGCCGGGTACTTGTACATCAAAACAACAAAAGACACTAAGTACAGATCTAAGAGTACTTGCAGTTACTGACAGCTAGTTCAAAGCCACTAACAACTAATAAAAAAATCATGCATCTAAGACTAAATTATCAAAATGTCATATACGGCCTCCAACGCTTTCACAACACTATAAAACCCCAAACAAAGCATCAAATTCGTATTTTTAGATTACATTGTAATATTCTTTAACTGTAAAATAACAAGCTTTTGGTTTGTTTTCCTGTGAGTTGTCGTGAAGTTGATTACCCCTGCAATAATTTCAAACGGAATATAACATACCCATACCAAAATTAAAGTTTGTAATATTTGTACAGCAAACTGGTTAACAAAAAAGTAAAATAACAAAAATACCGAATTCCAAGGAAAATTCGAAACGGAAAGTCCCATATCAAATAATGGCAAAAGAAAAGCTCAAACATATCAAACGAATTGAAAACAATTGGCATAGGCATTTTCTTACATAACAGAGAGTTTCATTTAAATCAGCTCGCCTTTAAAAACGTCTGATGCAGGTTTAAATTATATTTTAGTTGTTTAAGACTTTTAGTCCTGGCATCGCAAAAGATCATGATGAATCTGTATCATGTCTGAAATGGCTGTGAGAAAATGTCATATACGGCCTCCAATGTTTTATATATTTTTATGGTACTATTTCAACATAAGTACTATAGTTTGATTAAACCATTTGCAAGGATTTTTTAATCGGTACTGGTAATGTTAGGTTGTATAGACTTACATTGTAATTATAGTGCTATTTTTAACTAATTAAATTGTATGTTACTTAATTACAGTGGCAGAGATTGAAAAGGGGGGTCTGCTATATAAAACAAACTACCTGCTGTTAAATTACTCAAATTGTCATGCAATTATAGAACCATGATTATGGTTGTGTTAAGGAACTTGATGTTAATGGCTGAACTCAAATAAATTCTATAAAATTCGTTCAAATTAGGTGCTCGAGGCCTCAATATTCAAAAATGATAAACATGATGCAATCATTGAAGAACTGACATATCCGATACGGACGAAATCGTATAGCATATCCCGGACAAGCAATCAAAGCTAAGTTGAAGAAGATATATTTCTTAATTCGAAATGATTTTCTTAGATTCATAAGTGCAAATTCCAATAAACCAATAGTCGAATCTTCTACCAGTAACATATCATAATACATTTGTTTATACGAGTTGATGAGCATTGAAGACAAAAATTCCGAAAGATTTCTCCAAAACAGTTAAAGTAATGTTTGATGAAATAAATAATTTTTCTATATATAAATTATTCCTATGTTCTATTTTTATTCCAACAGCAAATGGACATTATATTTACCTTGAAGGATCACATGTAGAAGAGGGAATGATGTCGGAGTTAACCAGTAAAACTATCAGTACTGATGGTGATACCTGTTTTACTTTCTGGTATCATATGTACGGAAAAGACATTGGGACATTAAATGTTTTCATTGAATCAGGAAACATCATTAGAAGACAGTGGTCCCGATATGGAAATCAAGGAAACGCCTGGAAATTTGCTTATTTTACCATTTCTAAATCAGGATCATTCAGGATTATATTCGAAGGGACTCGTGGAGATGATTCTAAGAGTGATATAGCTTTAGATGACATTTCACTACTTCAGCGTTCATGTTCAGGTAAGAAAGGAATCATGTCGAAGACAATCATTAAACATGTTAAATATATTGTACATTCTATATGTACTGTAGTCTCCCCGATTCCGTTTACCCAAAGAATACTAGTTTTACAGAGCTTCTTTGATATTGCATGCTGTTATTGTTTTTATTTTACCCCTACTCTTTCGGGGGGGGGGGGGTATTGTGATTACCCTTTTTTCATCCGTATACCCACCATTTCTTATGTCCGTCCGTGCGTCTCTCCTAGCCATGACCCTTCCGTTGCATTTTCTCATGAAGATTTTTTTTTCCTTTCAAAAAACTAATATGTATTCGACCAAATGTCACAAGAAATTTAGTTAGTGATCAATGTAAGAATGTCCTTCTTTCCTCAAATGTGAAAAAAATAAATATTTGAAAACATCAGAATAACATGTTTTTGCTGTTTTATTTCTTTTCGAAAGGTGTACCGACGCCATTATTATCGGGTTGATAAAAATCTTACCGGATATCATAGTTTATGCTGAATCATTATGGAACTGTTGATGTTAAATCTTTATTAAGCTCCGGTTCCGGAAAACAACTGTGGTAGCTTATAGTCGATCTTTTGTACGTTTGTCCGTCACTCCATCTGTTTTTCTTAATGGTCGAAACAAAGGGTGTTCCTAAGGCTAGCTAGTTGCAATGCAACTTTTACAGTAGACAAATATGGGAAGAGGGAAAACTTATTGGTCTTTAGGTCAATAGGTCAAATTTTTAGGTGACTATTGCTAATACATATAATTGTTTTAAAAATTGTTAGCGAATGGTAACTTGCGTTTCCTCGAAGGGACAAAAAATGAAATAACCAAATTCATGTCATATGGCAATAAATACACATTAATTGCAATTTATTGTTTCCGAGTAATGTGTTTAGGTACCTTGATGGAATTTAATAAAACATAACCAAATGGTTGAAACTAGAAAGAGAAGAAGCTTATAAATTTATAGGTTGGTAGGTCAAAAGACAAGGTCAAAGTTCCTAAGGATATCTTTACACGTTATGAAATTCTTAAGAATTTGATTTCTAGACGAAAACTCTTGAATATTTCTTTTTATTATGCTAGAATAGTTTTAAAAGGCATGTGCTTCTAACTCTGGTGGGTTAGCTTGGACCATGTGACACCCTGAATTCAAAAACAAGAACCCATAAAGTATTTTTAAGGCTCTGTAAGATACTTTATAATATGGGAATTATATAGAGATTTAATTTTTAAAAAAATAATTTCGAATCTCTAGATGAAATATTCAGAAAGATAACTTTTTTCATTTAAGTGATATTATTTGAACATGTTTTCCTCGGGCTTGACAGATTTTAAAGGGTTGATTGGATGTCTCGACATGCTACTTTTTAATTTGGTATCGCCTATTTGCCCGGGGCCAGACATAGCAATGGACGGCAGCTTTTATTCAGTATGGTGAATAGAAAACTACCGAAATGTGATACTCTATACTTATACCTACTACAGCATGTATGCATGCATATTATTCTATTATTTGCAATACAACTGTATCACTGCAAAAATTATATACATTTATTTACCCAAATAATTTACAACACCGTCTGCTTCTTAAACGCCATATGTTACATTTTCTGGTCAGGTTTAGCCATTAATGACTGGCATTGGGTTTTATAAAACGGAACAAATGATCCAGTATGAAATGTGTACTGTACTTACAGGTGCATTGATAACACACTTCTATGTGTTTAATATCTTACTAAAAAGTTTAGCCGAAAATTTCCTTTTGATAATGTGGCAAATATATTCATCATAGATAAATGTTCTAGGTTTAACATTGTGTACGCCAGACGCGCGTTTCGTCTACAAAAGACTCATCAGTGACTCGAATAAAAAAAAGTTAAAATGACCAAATAAAGTACGAAGTGTGGAATAACTCTGGTTTTAATACAAAACCAAAGTACTATATATTTCAATTACATGTAAAGTAACAGCTTCATAGTTTGTTTTTTTTTTTTTTTTTATTTTTATGTTTTTTGATTTTTTTTATAAAATACAGCATAAAGGAAACAGCTGCAGAAAAATTAAAAGTTAATAAAGATTATTTAATTTAATGGACTTATTAGATTTTAACATGGGCAACTATTGTTGTCTTTTTTTATATATAGATTAGACCGTTGGTTTTCCTGTTTGAATGGTTTTACATTAGTCATTTTTGGGGCCCTTTATAGCTTGCGGTTCGGTGTGAGCCAAGGCTTCGTGTTGAAGGCCGTACTTTGACCTATAATGGTTTACTTTTACAAATTGTGACTTCGATAGAGAGTTGTCTCATTGGCACCCATACCCCATCTTCTTATATCTATTTACATATTTTAGCCCTATATTATCATTGTAATTGTTATAATCATATACATATGCGTGTTATTGTTATTATTATTATTATTATTATTATTATTATTATTATTATTATAATAATTATTATTATTATTATTATTATTATTATTATAATAATTATTATTATTATTATTATTATTATTTTTATAATTATTATTATTATTATTATTATTTAGATATATAACTGAGTTTTACTGTGCGTATTGCTATGTGTTTCTTTATTCTACATTGGCTAGAGGTATAGGGGAAGGGTTGAGATCTCACAAAACATGTTTAACCCCGCCGCATTTTTTGCACCTGTCCCAAGTCAGGAGGGCTCTGGCCTTTGTTATTCTTGTATGTTTTTAAATTTTAGTTCATTTATATGTTTTGGAGTTTAGGGTGACGTCCATTTTCACTGAACTAGTACACAATTTATTTAAGGGGCCAGCTGAGGACCACCTCCGGGTGCGGGATTTTCTCGCTGCGTTGAAGACCCATTGGTGGCCATCGGCTGTTGTGTGCTCTTTGGTCGGGTTGTTGTCTCTTTGACAAATTCCCAATTTCCATTCTCAATTGTATATGTGTGTATATATATATAGTATGTAAGTTAAACTTTTTAATTGGAAGGTTAAATATTTGTAGGTTTGATCAAAACTTCACAGACATGCCATAATATTGATGAATCTATATCGCTTCATGAATGTTCAAAATATTATCTGCAGCTTAACGAAACATCTTTAGTATTTGATCGAGAGGTTGACCGCTGTTCAACCGTATACCAAGATGTCCAAACATCAATTACAACGTTATGTAAAGAAATCAACAATTCAGACATTTGCACATTCAATCTTTCGAAACTTATTATGGAAGACCAAAGATGTTTTCAATCAAACTGGCTTTCGGTCCAGTACAAATGTGAAGGTAATTCTCTTACAGAGAAAATAACACTTATGTTAATATATATACGGAGAATAAAATAAAATAATAAGATGTATAGGATTTTTTGACGTATTCTCTATTATAGCGATTATATGCCTATAGACAGACTAAATATAAATAAAAACTGGCCACAAGCGTAATGTTGTACAATAACCGACTAATTAACACAGGGCACATTTTTCATAAATAAATCAACATCAAAACAAGACTGAATATTTTTATGTTAAGAGATTTCTGTTTAAGATTGAATATTAATCATAACAACAACCTTTTTATCTCGTATGTCACAGAAAGCGAGAAAAAGGGTTACAAATCCGCGGCATCAGTGCTAACGGCTACATATCTTAGAAGGTTAAAACCAAAATACTTTTATACTTCTGTTCCGTTCGTGTGGCTTGTGTCCTTCATACGGGCGTTCAATTTCATGGTTCAGCGATTGATAAGAAAAACCGAATAGTTTTATTTTATCATGTAATGTTTATTAGTTATCACGAGTTGTTATAGGACAACTTTATTTGGTATATAGAATAATTACAAGGAATACATGTTCGTCAGACATGGTTCACCTGACCTGGGCATCATTTAAGAATAAGAGACCAAAGTAATATTTCATGGTTAGGTTTTGGTACAGATACTATGAGCAAACGATCAACTATATGGTGTATGAAATAATAGTTGTTCAGTCGTGAAGGGTCTTTATGACCTTGATCTCGATTTCATGGTCTTGGGTCAACGCTTTGCTTTTGGTTTCTTTTTTCGTTTTCGCTTAAGTCAGTTTCTCAAAACCATACGCAAAAGATCAATTATGTTTAATCCATGAAATGATAAAAGAGGATTAAGAACCCAAAACTCCGAAGGTTTTGCCAAACGATTAACTATATATGTGGTGTTTTAAACAATTTTAAGATGTACATGTCCGTCTGGTATTGGTCATCTGACCCAGACCTCATATGCATGGTTCATTGGTAATGCTAAAGTTTTGTGAAAATGTCCGTTTCTACTACCAACAAAAAGAGCCGGAAGATACCAATAGGTCAGTTTATTTTCAGTAAATGGAATATTGTTACATGTTTACGGCTGTCTCGGAGTATAATAAAATTGTACCTGACCTTGACCTCATTTTCATGATTAATTGATAAACGTTACGGTTTTGTGATTGTGCCTATTTCTCATATGCTATTACATCCCTCAGATTTGGTTCAACTTGTTTTGATCTGTTTTCATGGATCAGTTATAAGCGTTAAGATTTCCTGACTAAGTCCATTTCTCAGTTACTTATTGTGATAGATAACTTACATGTGGTTTATCGCCTTCTCTATTGTTTAGTATTAAAGTATATGTTAAAGATTGTTAATATCAAGGTTTAGTACACATATCACTTGAACTTCACATATTTAATGAACCATGAAATTGAGGTCAAGGTAAGACGGTCATGTACACCCTATAATCATTCCATAAACCAAATGTAAGTTACACATTTACAGCTTTACTATAAGTATCTGAGCGACGAGTTGTTTGCCATGGGGTTTTAAGTTTGTTTCGATTTATGAGTTTGAATGTCCTTTTGATATCTTTCGCCGCTCTTTTTCAAAATTTTATTCATGGGTTAAATACAAATACATTGTTTTATATCTTATTAAGATATGAAAGTATGAAATTTATATATACTTTTGCATATTAATCCTTAACAGATGAAAACTAAATTCTATAAAATGCAGTTTAAATCTCCCGTAGAATCTATTGTAAAATGCATAACTTTTCTCCTATCCTGATGAGGTTACAATTGAAAAATATCATTCATTTCTTTCATCTTTTCCATAATGCAACTGATAGACACAGCACATTACTTATCGCCTTTTGCGGTGTATATCACATATCACACATATCTATTAAGCATTGTTCTTCCTTGGATTAATACTTCACCAATAGCTTTCAGTTTAACAATCACAGTGAAGTCGATTACAATCGTTACTTTGAAAAAAAATATATATTGATGTGCTTAATGTAAATGAAATAAGAAAAGACTCGGAAAATAATTGTACCTATTGTTTATTAACATGTTTCTTTCAGTACTTCAATACAATAATATTCAGTTTGATGAGACTGAAAAGGAAAGTAATAATCATTGGGATAATGATTTAACTGAACGTAAAAACTTACATGAACAATGAACGGGATTATCTTTGGTGCTATTACCAGTTGCCTTCTTTCCTGCTCCACCATTTTCATCAAATGCGAGAGGTTTTTTGAGACTTCAAATATTCTTGCATGGAACTTAATCTCTACAGCCATTTCACCTTTTAGGCAGAGATATGATCTTATAATACTCAAATGTAATGTTCGGGACAATGATAGCAATATTCTAATAGCCTATATATTGATATATAAATGCATTTATTTACAGTAAGTGATACCAGTGTCACCAGTGAATCAGCAACAGGTTATTATTGTTTTTCGTTTATTATGTCTGCCTTGTAAACATTATAATATTTGAAATAAAAAGGAGCTGGAATATACAAAAGGGACATTCAAAACCCATAAGTCTCAGGAAAACTGACAACACCATAGCAAAAAAAAAAAGACGACGAAAAGACAATTACACAAATTATTACATAGAATATTGGGAATAAAAAGGAAAACCACAAAATATTTGAAGTGATATCAGGTGCTCAGGGAGGGTTATGCTTAATCTTAAAACTTTCCGCTTGTGTTTCCGTGACTTTTGAACTGCAATTTGATTGTTTTCTTGTTTATTTTATTTCGCCCGTAGGACAATGGGACGTAAAACCAAAGGCCCGTACAACCTTTTTCCTGTCTTAAAATTCTCACTGTCGGAAAAAGACTGCCAAATATGTGGAAATACACTGGGAATCAAAATGGAAATATTAAATGAGTACTAAAAATGGGTCGCTTTTACACTTCTTATGTCCTAGAGCCCATGTTGTCAAAGTTCTAGAATTGGGTTTATTCTGTGGGAATTATGTCTTTGGATCACTGTTCGTATCTTCTTTGGATAAAAAGGTTTTTGTTTTTTTTGCGGATTATTGATTATTATGAATGTTTCTAAGCCTGTTGTTGTAGGGGAAAGAAATAAAAAAATCTTTGTTTTGTTCTCTTTTAGTTATTATGAATGTTTCTAAGTCTATTGTTGTAGGGGAAAACCTCATCGTTGTAAATCTCAAACATTTGAAACAAAGACTTTCAAAAGTATTTAAACTAGTCATATCTTCTATCGTATGTACAAATGTATTTTTATACAAATTCTTACATAGGTGCCAATGGATTATCGGATTTTTCCAATCTATGTTGTTTAATTATTGAATTTGCTTCGGCAAGGACTTTAATATTGGATAATCTAACTATCAAAATTGGATAAATTCGATAATCTTCGGGTAATCTGCTTTTCTAATGATTATCAAATAAATGTTCATGTTTGATCAAACAAAATCCCCATCGAGTGTCTCGTGAAATTCCTGATTTTTACGTCATAAACTTACGAAATTGATGCCCAAATACTTTATGTATGCATCTCTGGATAAAATGGAAGCAAACATTAAGAAATGTCTCATTTAACCAATAGCATTGTCTTTAATGAAATATATATTCATATTTAATAGTAAACAAATTGAACAACAATGTCTGAAGGTGGGACTATTTCCGCGTAGTAAAGGATAAAGATTATGACCTTTTTACTTAACCAATCATAAACTGAAATCATCGGCAACCACACGTTGATTCAATTTTTTTAAACGATCTGTCAAGAAAGAGTTAAATTGCCAAAGAATATGAGAAAAAATTTACATAACATTCAGAAATCATATTTTGTTGATAAGAAACTAAATTAAAGTATTGATAATGTTAGTTTAACCAAAACACAAGATTCCTAAATGTACTGGTCGAAATCATTTTGAGATGGAATTTTAAATATTTGAAAAAGATTTCCGAAAACTACTTTTATTCATCTTAAAGAAACCATATCTACCATGTCTACATATGAAATAATAAAAAAAAAAAATCAAAACCCGCCAGGCTTATCAGTTATGCAAAATGGGAATTTCATATTTTTTTAGATGGCATTGGTCGTTGGTAATGAGTGCGTGGACAACTAATTAACAATGTAAGAGAACATAACATGTGAATAAAAAAATATCGTCACGGTGTTCTTAAAGCTACAACAACAATATAGCATATGATATGACTTTGTTTCGACATTTTTGTAGGTTTAGTTGTAGGCTTGGTTATTGGTGGTTTACTACTGGCATGTGTTATAATTTTTATTGTTGCTCTCGTGAGAAGGTAAGTGTATATAACGTATTATACTTTTATGATGTTAAATGTTCTTTCTGAATTGCTCGAGATAATATTCTTGATATTTGATAATTAATCATTTTTTTTAAATATTTGATTCTATGTAATGCAGTATATTATTGTAAAATTGTCTTGCAGGAAGACTATTTGCTGAATTTTATCGCAATGCAAACACTGCACTTTAAAAGGAAAGCTATTATACCTTAAGCGAATTAAACTTTTTTACATGTTTTTTTAGGTTGATAACTTATACAACAGATATGACTTATATTGATATTGATACATAAATTATTTGAGCCAGAATACAAAAATAATTCTATACGTAATTTATATTAAAGGCATACATTCAAGAGCAATCCAAGAGAAAAAATAAGAAACAATCTCGGAGGAAATGACTACATTGGAGGTCAAGATATAGCTTTACCACAAACAGTTAATCAGTCCAGCCATTTGCAGAATGATGGCATGTATGAACAAAGCAGAAATAATTTTGATCATGATTATGACAGCATACATCCTAATGCTCAGGTCAACAATGTTCAACAAAAATACACCAACATAAGTGCAGCCAATGGTTTTGTAAATAAAGAAAGAGTCCAGGCACCTACAAATGCAGTCCGTCGGGATAAAACATTTGCAGACGATCACAAGTCAAATGACGATGAATATGCTATCGTTTACCCTATAGCCGAAACAAGTTTCAATGAGATTTCAGACGACGAAACCGGAACATCACACAGTAATGTGGTATTAGATCCAAACGACACGGGTATCAATAGAACAACATTTTATAACACTCCTATAGGTTATGAGTTTGCAAAACCTGTAAGGGATACTGGGAACAAAATTGCCGATGATGATCAATATGATTTATCTAATGAAGGAACCTACGATCATTCAGGAGATAATCGTCACATAGAACTAAAGGATAATATTTATAACCATGCCATGGATACTGTTTACGATTCCGGTAGTCACAAAAGAAATAACGAAGGGAGAGAAGACACATATGATCATTTCATTGGACAAAAAAACTGAAGATGAATATGATATCTCAACAACCACTTGAACTCATGTAATATATAAGTTGCATATGAATTTTACATTCATAGTTTTTTTTCGGATTTCATTTACTTTAAACTTATACTAAACGCATACATTATAATAAAGATGGATGTGAAGTTAGCAGCCGGTTCGTTATTCGATATTCGATATTCAATATCCAATTCCTAAATATGTCTTAATTATTTTGAATACATAAAGTTACAAAATAAAAATTAAAAGGTTTAAAAAAATAAAAAGAATAACACTATATATTTTTTGTTGTTGTTCTTGTTGGTCCGATGCTCTTTTCTTGATGTCTCCTTGGTATATCTTGCCTCTTATTATTTACCTTTCATCTAGAAAACCCAATCGAAAAAACAAAATCAATACATCCAATGATTTAGCAGAATAGCTATACCACCTCGAGCTGCATATGGAATATCAATTATTCGTCATTATGATACGACAGCATTTTACAGAGTGAGAATATAAACTACTGCTATACTATGCAGACATTTTCTAATCGAAAATTCAGTACAAAGGTTACTAGAAAGCTAGAATGTATTCCATTGATTCCATATAAAAGAATAATGGCAACAAAGAATTCTAACTGAAATAACAATTAATGACGGTCATAATTCTGGACAATGCTACATCTTAAAACTACAGCAGAGCTTGCAAACTTTCCGGAGCAAAAGTATATACTCTTCCAAATGATAACTAGATAACATTATAATGTATATCAGTCACTTCACATCCAAATGTATTCAGCGTATTGAACTATAATATAATTACATATACACCGAACCAGCTGTTAGAATGGGGATAACAAATTATTGATAATGTTCTACTCATATATTCAACAATACGTCATCTTCCTCTAAAGATAGCTGAAACATTTACATTGTATGTATACGAATACTACTTACAGATGAAAATAATATACATCATAACCCGCTTCTTAATAGGTTAATACGGTTACAGCCACATGTACAGGACCAGTTTTCCTTGATTTAAGATCAAATTAGCTATGTTTCTTTTTTTTAAAGTATTTTAATCTTTACTCGCATTCCCAGTATCACAGTCTTACACAGTTTACTTTGATACTGTGTTTTAACTACATAATATCCTATCTCTGAACTTATTTAAAACTCCTCAAATATGACTCCAAATTGTAATTCTGTAACCTTCTGGCAAATAAAATATATCACCCACACAAACACAAACACAGAAACACGCAAACAGCAATTTTCTCAAAAGCGGATTATATTCGAAGTAAAGCTTATATTATAATTTCAGATACGAGTTTTTAACATTTCGGATTTGGATAAAGAAAATAGGAGACGAGATACTAAAGGGGAAATTAAAAATGAATAAATAAACGTATAGCAGTGGGATTAACAAAAACACCAAATAAGTAAATGTATCTTGTCTTACTTTAAGACATAGCTAAATTCATTAATAATCGGTTCACGTCAATTTTTCATTCCTAGTTTTATAACACTTTACAACATAAACATTATTTTTGAATTTAGAATAAACCAACCTTCGACCGTTACAACACAAGTGCATTGAACATTAGAATAGTAAAGACACAAGGCAGAAAACTCAACTCTTTCTTGCACTTTGTAGGAAAACTTGTTTTTTAATCTTTGCGTGTTTTGCTATTGTCAAGAGAAACTTTAAATGGCCATAAAAACATCCTGTATCACACATTCAGAAAATTGGAATATAAAAACAATGTTTCGTTATAAGCAGTCAGTTTTGTATGTTCAATTCGTCAAAATAAGTTGAAAAAAGTAGCTGGTGTATTATTGAATGAACTCAGTAATTCAACCCCATTCGAATCCGAATTCATGCATCCTTAGTTTGACATTAAGTGAAGATGGGTTGCACATATTTTATGCATGTTGTTAGTACATTCATTCATCATGTTCATTAAAAAGAAAAAAATGTCACCATCGAAAATTCACCAAAGGAAGACACTAGGAATTATCACCATTTCGTTGACTGATCCAGCCCAAAAGATCTTTCTCGTACAAGTAAAACGATGATTTACGAATATTGTAATCATTACAACATGACATCTAACAGAGGTAAAAAAAAAAAACATTAAACGATTGCAAGTGCTTGTTTGTCTTTTCATATTCATGTTTATATCGGATTATATGACCGTCTTCTTCCGTCATTCCGATATAAGTTTAAGTATGATATCAATCAAATAAGAGATTTTTGTCAAATCGATCGGCGAACATGAATTGTTGCCCTGAAATGACGACTTTGACCCATTTTTTTTTATAGTCGTAAACACTGTAATATATAGAGAGAAACCTGAAACAGAAAAAATATCAACGGTACAAAATCTAAAAATAATAAGTGAAATGGCCGAGTTCTTTAGTCTGCTTTTCTGTTATAAAATGACGATTTCTTTTACCAATTTGTCAACATTTTTAGCTATTATCTTGAAAAAGTTTAATAGATAGAGGCAAACTAACAACGGATAAAGTGATCAGCGAGACAACATCTACGCAAATGTACTGAATTAAATCGTCAATCGATTCCTTTTAGAATGAATTGCTCTTTAATGTCAATATAGATGATGTCCTTTCACTAAATAATTCAAAGTTTGGTGACTATGTGGACATACCTTTCCCATCGAACTTGCCAGAAAGGATACAACAGTTAAGTCTGTCTCATATAATGACTTCCATCATAATTAACAATGAGGGTCGGTTGAAAAACAAAATTTTACGACAAAAGAGATGATTTCCAGCAGCGCATTTATATAGAGTATACATCTACCGGTTGATACGATATTCCAGGGCTTGCGTTTCCTATCATGATTTCCGTGATAGATGGTTGCTGCTCACAAGGAAGCTATTAAGTCAAGAGTTATATATAGGCGGTGAAGTTGGAATCATCCCCTAGAAAATTTTACGGACGCCATCAAGAGTTGGTTGACCGTTATGGAATATCTGTTTCACACGATGGATATGTTCAAATCGTCGTAACCACAATCCCGTACTCCTTTTCCCCGAATGTGACCTACCAAAGAAGACTTATCACCGGGTTTGAATGTACATCAGCAACACGACGGATGCCACATGTACATGTGGAGCAGAATCTGCTTATCATTCCGGAGCACCTGAGATTACTCCCGGTTTTTAATGGGTTTGTGTTGCTTAGTCTTTAGATTTCTATGTTGTGTTTTGTGTACTGTTGTTTGTCTTTTGATCCTTGTTAGCTCACCGGGGCACGAAGTGCCCCATGTGAGCTTATGCAATCACTTGGCGTCCGTCGTCGTCCGTCGTCTGTCGTCGTCGTCGTCTGTCGTCGTCATCGTCGTCCGTCGTCGTCGTAAACTATTTCAAGAATCTTCTTCTCTGAAACTATTGGGCCAAATACCTTCAAACTTTAACTGAATGTTCCTTAGTGTATTTAGTTTATAAATGGTATCCGAAGTTTTGATCCATCAACAAACATGGCCGCCATGGCTAAAAATAGAACATATGGGTCAAATGCTGTTTTTGGTTTATATCTCAAAAACAAAAGCATTTAGGAGCAAATCTAACATGGAGTAAACATGTTCAATAGGTCAAGATCTATCAGCTCTGAAATGTTCAGACGAATCGAACCCATTGTTGGGTTGCTGCCACTAAATTGGTAATTTTAAGGAAATTTTGCAGTTTTTTGTTATTTTAAATATTATTGAAGATAAAGATAAACTGTAAACAGCAAAAAAGTTAGCAAAGTAAGATCTACACAAAGTTTATATGACTAAAATTGTCAATTGACCCCTTAAGGAGTTATAGCCCTTTAAGGACAATTTTACACAATTTGTTCATCATGTTTGCTAACATTTAAAAATCTTCTCCTCTGAAACTACTGGGCCTAATACTTCTAAACTTTAACTGAATGTTCCTTAGGGTAACTAGTTTATAAATTTTATCCGAAGTTTTGATCCATTAACAAACAAACTTGTATCTCAAAAACTATAGCAGTTAGAGCAAAAGTGACGGAGTTAAAGTGACGAATAAGTCAAGATCTATCTGCTATGAAATTTTACTGTTTTTGGTTATTATCTTTAATATTATAATAGATAGAGAGAAAGTGTAAATAGCAAAAATGTTCAGCTAAGTAAGATCTACAAATAAGTCAAATGATCAAGATAGTCAATTGACTCCTTAAGGAGTTATTGCCCTTGAAACGTTTATTTTTTTACATTTTTTTGTGCAAGTCTATTACTTTTTCAAAAATCTTCTTCTCTGAAACTACTGGGCCAAATACTTCTAAACTTTAACTGAATGCTCTTTAAGGTATATAGTCTATAAATCTTATCCAAAGTTTTGATCCAACAACAAACATGGCCGCCATGGCTAAAAATAGAACATAGGGGACAAAAGCAGTTTTTGGCTTATATCTCAAAAAACACAGCAGTTAGATCAAACATGAAAGAGAGTTAAATTGATAAATGGGTCATGGTCTATCTGTTATGAGATTTTCAGACGAGTTCGACAACCCACTGTTGGAAATAGTTTATTTTTATGAAATTTTACTGTTTTTGATTATTTTCTTTAATATTATAATAGATAGAGAGAAAGTATAAATGGCAATAAATGTTCAGCTAAGTAAGATCTACAAATAAGTCAACTTGATCAAAATAGTTATTTGACCCCTTGAGGAGTTATTGCCCTTAACATTTTTTTTTTGTACATTTTTTGTGAAAGTTCAATTACTTTTTCAAAAATCTTCTTCTCTGAAACTATTTTGCCAAATACTTAAAACTTTAATTGAATGTTCCTTAGGGTATCTAGTTTATAGATTGTATTCGGGGATTTGATCCAATTAAAAACATGGCGGCAGTTTCTAAAAATAGAACATAGGGTCAAATGAAGTTTTTGGCTTTCATCTCAAAAACTAAAGAAGTAAGAGCAAAACTGACATAGATTAAAGTGTTAAACAGGTTTCGATCTACCTGTCAAGTAATTTTCAGACCAATAGGACAACTTATTGTTCGGTTACTGGCCAGAAATAGGTAATTTTTAGAAAATTTTAAAGTTTTGGGTTATGTATTATCTTTAATATTATTATAGAAAGAAAGAAAGTGTAAATGACAAAAT